CAGGATGTTCACTGTGAAGAGGAGCGTGTGAGTTTAGAAATCTTTTGAACAATCAATGGATAGGAAAATGTCTCTATGCTAATTGATTGTTGCATGCCCATTTGTGTTAGTTGATATAGAGGACTGTAGAATACCATATATGGTGTTTCTTGAGCTTCAAAATAAAGGTTCCAGCTAATTTAAAAAAATAAAAAAACCCTGAAGAATCTCTTTGCTTGCTTGTGAGGTAAAGGGATAGTTCACCCAAAAATCACCAAGTTGTTCCAAACCTGTATGAGTTTCTTTCTTCTGTTGAGCACAAAAGAAAACATTTTAAAGAATGTTTGGAACCAAACAGTTGCCGGTAGCCATTGAAATCCATAGAATGTAAAAACATATATGGAAATCAATGGCTACCGTCAACTGTTTGAGTTCTACAGAAGTATCGAACTATCCCTTTAAACCCATTAGACTAACTAAATTATAATATATGTTGTTATTTTAAAGTTAAATAATAAATAAGAACTTTTTTTATATTATTTTTTGACAATGGACAAATAAACATGAGAAAATATATAACATTTAAGAGAATGACGTGCCATGTTTTATATATTTATTCTTATTGTTTGATTCTCTTTTGTTTTCATTTAATTTTCTTATTAGGTGTTTTATTTTCTTTTATTGTTCCTTTTTGTATTGTATTATTATTTTAGTTCTATTTTGTATTCTTTCATTGTATTTTTACTATTTTAATTTATATAAGTGCTTGTGAACACTATTTTAAAGTTGACATGGAATTTGTTTGAAAATTATTTTCTAAATTCATGCTTTTAATCATATTGTGAATGATCCATTCACGCATGTTTATTTTTTAGCATTTTTTCTTAATTACTTAAATGTTTTAACCATCATTTTTAATCAAGATGTCAATAAATCACAAACTTCTCTCTGTATGCCTGACTTCTTCAATCATTTCGCCCTCATAAACCCTGTCTTTTTCTTATAATCAACTGCAAGTTGTCATTCAGATCTGCCTCTGTTAAATCATATTTCAAGTCATTTTTATTATTTTCAATAATTCAGTCTCATATATACATCACAATACAGGAAATATCTGTCGCTATTTCAGTTATATCGTAACCTGAAGAAAAATGTGAATTAATCTTCACTAAGCTAGATGTTACTTATTAAATAAAAGTCGAATTTGATGGTTTGTGAAAAATCTGACTTCGTATTAGAGTGTTTTTCTAGCATTACCATTATAAAGCATCGCAGGCTGACCATTCATTTGATCATGTCTGTGACTCAGAATCATGAAGTCTGCTCTTTGATTCACGCTGGTAAACATGATCTCTGTGTGCTTTGATGAATGAGTAGACTCGCTCGCTCGAAAGGGGGCTTCATATTGTGCTGATTGCTTTGCTCCTTACTGAAATGTTTTCTTGTGTGTTCAAAATGTGAATTAATCTTCACTAAGCTAGACGTTACTTATTAAATAAAGTCGAATTTGATGGTTTGTGAAAAATCTGACTTCGTATTAGAGTGTTTTTCTAGCATTACCATTATAAAGCATCGCAGGCTGACCATTCATTTGATCATGTCTGTGACTCAGAATCATGAAGTCTGCTCTTTGATTCACGCTGGTAAACATGATCTCTGTGTGCTTTGATGAATGAGTAGACTCGCTCGCTCGAAAGGGGGCTTCATATTGTGCTGATTGCTTTGCTCCTTACTGAAATGTTTTCTTGTGTGTTTGTGGTGGTGTTATTTTCTACCCATTTCCTGTTCTTTTTTCTTATTAGCACTTACGTTTCCAGGGTTGAGGTGTGTGCTGGCTTTCCTTTTGCGCGCACACACACACACACACACACACACTCCTTTACAGTTCTGTCCAGGCACAGCTGACTTCTCTTTGAAAAAGAAAGATTGCTTTAGCCACAGAAATTGATATAATTTCATGTTAAATAATAAAAAAAATAATAATACATTTTATTCATAGCATGCTTTACCTTGAAGACCTGAAGCCTCTGTACTACCCTGAAGTCTTTGATTACTCATTGATTGCTGTAAAATGAGTGACGAGGCAGGTGCGCATTTCATGTTTGTTTGCTCTTCATTCAATTCATATAAATATGATTAGTTGATAGCTTATATTTTACCACTGCAGTTTGGTCAATTAAAGATATAGACCAGTACTGTAACCACGTTAAATGTTCAAATATTTTTAGTGGCCCTGCTAGTAGATGTATTAACTATATACTCTCCGGTCTAAAAATATATTTCCTCATTAATAATGGCCATTCAAAATGAACCCTTATATTATTAAAAACTAGAGTTGATTTTTTTACCAGTGAAATTTTTTTTGTAGGGTGCTTAAAAGCATGAAATGGTCTTATATTTCCCCTGCTCTCTTTGACGTCACAGCTCAGAATGTCACCAGTGAAGGGCTTGAGACTGTGTGTGTTCTTGTGTTGTCATTCACCAATCAGCATTGTCATCACATAATATTCATGTGTTTGCAGAATAATTAGTCACATGATGTTTGCAGGATTAGTACAGGTTACTGCGTATGTGCATGTATATCATATATGCCAAACAATGCTTTATTTCTTTTAATTTTCAAACAATAAAAGTGTCTTTCCCTTGTCACTGTATATCTATCAAATATTAATACTTACAAAGATATTCAGATGGATGAATGGGTGGATGGATGGATGGTGGGTGGGTGAATGAATGGGGTGATGGATGGATGGGCTGATTGATGGATAAATGGGTGGATGAATGGGGTGATGGATGGATTTAATTGGCTGATTGATGGATGATTGGGTGGGTGGGTGATGGATAGATGGGTGAATGAATGGGCTGATGGATGGATAGATGGATGTGTGGGTGGATGGATGGACTGATGGACAGATAGGTTGACCGTTGGTCGGATGGATGCATGAATGAATGGGGTGATGATGAATGAATAGGTGGATGGAAGGATGGATGGGTAATGATAGATGGGTGAATGAATGGGTGGATGGATGGGTGATGGATAGATGGGTGAATGGATGGGGTGGTGCATGGATGGGTGAATGAATGGGGTGATGGATGGATAGATGGGCTGATTGATGGATAAATGGGTGGATGAATGGGGTGATGGATGAATAGATTGATAGATGGATGTGCAGGTAGATGAATGGGATGATGGATGGATGGATGGATGGATGAATGGGTGGTGGGTGGATGGATAGATGATATGAGCTGATGGTTGGATGGGGGAATGATTACTGATGAAAGGATGGATGGGTGGGCAGATGATGTTTGAAAAAGATAGATAGATATATCTAGGGCTCTGCTGTCTGCTTGAAAGTCATTGTAGAAGTATGTTCCTCGTATGTAAAAATAGCAGCGAGGTCGCTTCGCTGCTGATGAAGTGATATTCTCTAATGACTGCACCTGATCCAGCGCTCACCTGCGGATGAATGACAGTAGCTGTAGGCTGGACCCGCTGACTAATGACTCCAGCAGCGCTCACTCACTCAGTCACTCAGTCAGTGTATTATGGGTTAATTCATGTTCTGTGAGGAATCTATCTGCTTCTTTCTAAAAAGGGACCTGCTATTTCTTGTTTTGTGACCGTTAATGCCCACCAACAGCTCGTGGGCAACAATATCCAGCTGGACTGCTGATTTGACAGCGCTGTTTATTGATTGTTTTTATGAGGCTCGCGCGTGTGTGTGGCAGGCGAAATCTATGAGCAGCTTTTTGCGATGTGAATCAATTCAACTCGGGAATTATGAGCTGGAATTCGCTTAAGATCATGGAAGTAGGCTACTGAAGAATCCAGGGACTCATTAGAGCTGACTGGAGTTAGAGGAAAAGTACAACTGGTTTTATTGCTTTCGCCTGGAAGTCGTACGTTTTGTTTTTGTTTTTTTTTCTCGGATAACAATCGGGATAAGGACCACTGTCCACTGCTATTCGCACCAAATGGCTAAAAATAATAATGTGTATAATCGCGAATGAGATCTGGAGAATTTCCTCACAATTGAGCGACAATCCATGATCCCGATTTCAGCTGCGGGATAACTCTGGATCCTGTAGCGACATCGGCTCGGATCATCAGCCCATCGGGATCTGAGGATCACTTTCAAAGACCGCCCATCATCACCACTGAAGGTAAGAGCTCGTGTTTGAGAGTTTATAAATCAAACGTTTGAAGTGAATTTGAGTGACATGAAGGCTTTGATGGGCAGCATGATTTCATCAACTGCAGCCTACATTTTCGCACCTGTTGTTTTATACGGACTGATCGGTCAAACGGAAGGTTTCTGATTTATTTACTGTCATATACAACTCGACTTTCATCATGGCGTGCTAAATTATTTATTTATTTATTTATTTTTTACTGATTTTAAATATCCATTATTTAATTTATTAAAACATTGTAAACCATGATGATGATGCTGCTGCTGATATTATTCTTAATAATAATAATAATAAATGACAAACCATGTCTTTTTTGTTTTTAGTATTAGACTATTATTATTATTATTATTTTAATTAGTTTAGTTTATTAGAAGTAATAATTTTCTGTTTACCTTTAAGTATGTCTTATTTTTAAATTTAAAGGATTTATTTTATTTTAAAATTATTATTGTTATTACTGCTGTAGTTGTTGCTGTTTTTTTTTACAATGGATTAATTATTATTATTATTATTATTATTTGTTATAGCTCTGTAATTTAAAGGATCTCATATCTTTTTATATTTATCTATTTTAAAATGTATTTAAATTATTAATCATTATTATTGCTGGTATTAATATTGTGACTTATTATTTTTGCTATGGATGTCTATTCCCAAAAGCTGTGCAAAACACAAACAACATGTATAATTTATTGTTGGCACGCAGATGGCAGTTTCCGGGCAAATTATTCACCTTAGTCTCATTTGACAAGTCAGGTGGTGCCCAGCCAACACCCCCTTCAGGGAAAAAAAGTGATGGACATGCTAATGACTAGAGAACCTGGAGGAGCGTGTGCAGTGTGAGAGAACAGGAGTGGCGGTGCGGTCCGGGGGGCTGGTCAGCAGTGTGTGTGTGTGTGTGTGTGTGTGTGTCATAGGTGTGTGTGTGCACGCTCTCAACGGAGGTGCAGAGGCAGGACTACTTATGTCACCGAGCCACTGTTATTATGAGCCCACCGATGACACCAGAGTGTGACATGAGGGAGATGCTGACCAGCTGAAGGGATGAATGAACGCATGAATGACTGACTACCTGCTCCGGGCTGCTGACATCTTAACCAGGGGTTTCTGGGCACTCTATGCTGCTCGGGGAGAGGACTAGCACTGGGACGTAGTCAGGCTGTGGCTCAGTTGTGCTCCGAGCCTGGAGTGCGCCATCAGATGGAGGTCACCGATCTGGATCCGGACCCTCGGGCGGAGGGGTCTGAAGGAGAGGGTCCGTGCGTCCTGAGCAGTCCCGGGACAGAGCCTGTTGTGCTTGAGTATCCTGTTGAGTATGATCCGTATGGGTAAGCAACAGGGACCACTGCTGTTGTCCCAGGATCTTGCTGCTTTCACACTTTGGCATGTAGGGAATGTGTTTAAAGCTGCTTTTTTGGTGGTATGTGCTCTGATTTTAATGTTAAACTTGTTTTTGCTTTAATGAGAGTGGGATGAGCATGAGATGTCCTGCTTTGATACTTCTGTTTTGGTATGTGTGTGATCACTGGCTTGATTTGTATTGATTGATTTGTATCCATCTTGAAATGTATTTATGCTCGAGTCTGTCCTTCGAACCGGAGGTTGCCTTTGTAAGAGGTTTAGATTGGATTATTTTGACATGATGTGGAATGACATTTTGACACTGGACTTTTTTGCACTGACTTTGTGAAACACTGCGCCCTGTGATTTGATTAAAGGATGCAGACCTTTTCTTGTTCATGTAATGTTTTTGACTCTTGTGAACAGGAAGATATAGCTGAGTGCAGTTTTTTTTATTAATTAATGAATTAATCTCTCTTTTTATGGTATATAAGAAATGCATTTTATTCTTGTATTTTTTATTTTTAATTGCAATTCAATGGCTGTTTTCTAGGAAACTTAGAATGTGATGTGGCACTGCCGGATTGGAACGTTTTGCCCTCAGTTGAACACGTTGTGATCAATTCTGCCTGCACCTCTTAGTTACACTCTTTATGTCCAGAATAGAACACTCTGTTTGCAATGGATACCATGGACTGGTTTACATGTCAACCAGTGTCCTATAATGTGATATGCTGTACTGCACCTAAAACTATTTAACCGTTACTTGGACTAAAAAACTGTGATCTAATTCTGTATAATCATTAAAAATGCAGGTTCTATGACCTTGCGACTACATTGAACATTTGTACTTTTATCCAGGACTATTTAAGTGAGAGATGTGCCGACTGGCCAACAATATTTTGTTAATATTAATTTAATATATATTTAAACTGCCGTAAATTTGTCTGTATTTTTTTAAAAGTCTCTTATGCTCACCAAGGCTGCATTTATTTGATCAGAAATGCAGTAAAAACTGTAGAATATTGTAAAATATTATTACAATTGAAATATATTTTAAAACCTAATTTATTCCTGTGATGCAAAGCTGAATTTTCAGCATTATTACGTCTTCAGTGTCACATGATCCTTCAGAAATCCTTCTTATATGCTAATTTGCTGCTCAGGAAACATTTCTTATTATTATAAATGTTGAAAACAGTTGTTTTGTGTAGCTGTGATACATTTTTATTGCAGCATTCTTTGATGAATAGAAAGTTCAAAAGAACGGCATTGATTTTTGAAATAGAAGTCATTTGTAACATTATAAATGTCTTTAATGTCACTTTTGATCAATTTAATGCATCTTTCACTGAAGACAAATGGTGCAGAAACAATTTTTACTCAGCAATTCCTAGTAAATTTCACAATTGATTACAAAGAAATTAGTATTTTATGTACAATATATTTAAGTAATCTTTGTAATATTTACAACTATGAAATATAGTTTTTTTTAAAGTGCTGCTGAATTAAATTATGAATTCTTCTTTTTTTTTTTTTTTGTAACTGACCCCAAACTTTTGAATAGTGTATAATATAATATAAAATGGGTATATAAATGAAAATCTAGGCTCTTATATGTATAACTGTATGTGAATTTGAACATAAAATCAAAATTTTCACATTTGTGTTATTGGTCAACTACCCCATCTACATTTCTTTGATTAAACAAACTACAGAGTATCTTAAAATGTACCAGATTAACTGATGCATTTTTAAAAATACTTCAACTTATTTTTTGCCAATTGCAGTCCCTTTGGCTTTATGCAGTTGTCATTTACACTTGGCAGTTTATCATGTGAAAAGCATGGCAGGTAAATTAGTCATACTTTCCCTTTGGACATACTCAGACTGTCAGGCTTATTCTGGGTTTGGATATATACAGTAATAAAAATGCATAGAGATATGTTTTTGCAGACAAACTTGCTTTTTTCGTTTTTACATGTCATCCTAGAATGTCTTGTGTAGTCAAAAGGAAACCGTTTTGGACAGCAAAGTTCATTTTCCTCACCAAGTTTCTATACCATTTAAAATGTGTATTTATAATTGTGATGTGTGTTGTTAGCCAGTTATAAAAAATTATTGCATGTATAGCAAGACTTATGAGTAATTTCATGAGCTATTTTAAAGCAGCAATACATCAACCATCAACAAAGTGGGACAATTAGACAACAAGAAGTTGATTTGAATGCTAATGAACCTGGAGGCACTGTGATAATTACCTTAATTAAAATTGCCCACATAAACAGTTCATCTGTGATTTTTCCCGGGGACAATGATTTATTTGGCCAATTCAGCTCTACTTGTGCAAAGTGTTGACATATGGTGCTTTATAATCCTTCACACAGTACCCTGTAAAGATGGAGAAATAACAAGCAAAATGTTTGGTATTAATGAGCTTTCACATTAAAAAATAATTACAGAAATTAATTAATTGGCGTGAAACATTCCACCAAAGGCTAATTATAATCTTTTACTTTTATTAATCATTTCGGACATTAAGCTTTATGGTAGATTAATGAGAACTCCGCTGAAGAAAATAATCAGTAAAGGGTCAGTAAGATTTTCTTTCCTTTTTGTTTTTTTGAAAGAAATTAATAGTTTTATTTAGCAAGGACACATTAAATTGATCAAAAGTGTCAGGAGAGAGTTTTACAACTTAAAAAAACATTTTTAAAAATCAATTCTACTCTTTTGAACATTCTATGTTTTATTAATTACGGAATCTTTCTGCTGTAGCCCAAGTCTTAGATGCTTTCATCTAAAGATCTAGTACAAATGAAGGCATTTACATCTCCACATTTGATAGAGACATTCTGGACTTGAACCAGAGAGAGTTTAAGCTACTCTCAGGCCATTAAAGGCTTTGCACATCCCAATCAACTGCCCCATTAAAGCAAACCCCAGTCTCTTACATTCGTCCCAAGGCAGCATCCATATTTTACAATGTCCTTCAGCAGACTGCTACTACGAGCTCAAGCTGTATGTGTTTTACTCTGATTTGGTAACTGGCTGTAGCCCAGCACATACTGTGATTGTGGGCTCACGTCCCAAAGCGTAGTCTGTGATCTGGAACCTCTTGCCCCTTCATGCTGACTGCTGCTTCAAGTGGTTTTTCTTTCTCTCTCTTGCTTTCTGCTGACGGTCTGGTGGTATTTAACCTGCTGGGTGACCACATTGTCCCCATGAGAGCTTTAAGTTCCTGTACAGGACACCAGCAGTTCAGCGTCACAGTCTGAAGGAAAGGCTGCTTTTAGCTCTGCTGAAGGGAGTAAATCTCAGTAAATCAGCATAACATGACAGACAAGGGAGAGATTTGTAAGGTCTACTCACTAATTTAAAAAGTATTTCACCGATAAATAAATCAATGCATTTTTGGAAATTTTTTAAATCAGTTCACATGAGTTGAAGACTCAGTAGACAGTAGTCTAATGAAAGCTTTTTATTGAGTATATATCTGGGGTCAGTAAGATTTTATGGATTTTTATTTTGAAAGAATTGTTCAGCAATGATGCATTAAATTGATCAAAAGTATTAATACAGATTTTTTACATTCTTACTAAAGATCTTTATTTTCAAATAAATGCTGTTCTTTCAAACTTTCTGTTCTTCAACAAATTCTAGAAACAAAATGTGTCACGGTTTCCACAAAAATATTAAGCAGCACAACTGTTTTTAACATTGATGATAATAAGAAATATGCCTTGAGCACCAAATTAGCATATTAGAATGATTTCTGAAGGATCATGTGACACTGAAGACTGAAGTAATGATGCTGAAAATTCAGCTTTGTACGGAAGTTCTAAGCGGCCATGCATTATTTATTTTTTCCCTTCTTGTTTTCTCGTTATAACGACTTATTTTCTCGTTATATCGACATAACGAGAGTTGTTTTCTCGTTATAACGACTTATTTTCTCGTTATATCGACATAACGAGAGTTGTTTTCTCGTTATAACGACTTATTTTCTCGTTATAACGACTTATTTTCTCATTATTTCTCGTTATGGTTTATCTGTCCATCAGATTGAGTTCATTACTATAACAACAGTAGATCAAACAATCATTGTAAAAAAAAAAAAAAACTTTGTCGAGATAACGAGAAAATTAAATCGTTATAACGAGAAAACAATTCTCGTTATGTCGATATAACGAGAAAATTAAGTCTTTATAACGAGAAAACAACTCTCGTTATGTCGATATAACGAGAAAATTAAGTCGTTATAACGAGAAAACAACTCTCGTTATGTCGATATAACGAGAAAATAAGTCGTTATAACGAGAAAACAACTCTCGTTATGTCGATATAACGAGAAAATAAGTCGTTATAACAAGAAAACAAGAAGGAAAAAAAAATTATGCATGGCCGCTTAGAACTTCCGTAGCTTTGTATCACAGCAATAAAATACATTTTAACATGATTAAATATAAAATAATTATTTTAGATTGTAATAATATTTTGCAATATTACTGATTTACTACTTTTGATTTAAGGCAGTTTTGGTGAACATAAGAGAAAAGACAAATCCCCCCCCCCCCCAATAGTATATAATAAGACAAAATTATATATACATATAATGAAGTTCATCGTAAATATATAGTGGGTCATTGTTATGCTGTAAAATAAAATAAATCATAAAAAAGCCACAAACCTATGTTATAAAGTGTATCAGTATTAAACAGCCAGCCTACTCTCTAGATATCATTATTAGCATCAGATATAGAAAAACCCATAAACACTCAACTTCTGTAAGTAAGTCAAATGCTGTGGTCAGTTGTGCTTTCTCTGCCACTTTAACTCTAAGCCTAATCTAGACAATCTTACATTGTTGAAAGCTTGATTTATATTTATTTTTGAATGCATTTTAATAATGGCTAGTGCATGGTTGGCGGCTGTCACATGGGCCGTGAGCCAGGAGCTACAGTAAAGCCTTCAGTGGGTTTGTTTGTGGGAGTTCTTGATATGCACAGAATCCTTGATCTGTGAAACGGCCTGCAGGATGTGGAGTGCTGTGCGTTTTGAGTGGGCTTTTGACACTCAAGCCCGTTTTTAAAACTCACGTTTTCGAAAGGCACTCACTTCATACTAATCAACACGGAGCCCTGTTACTGAGAGAAACTCTGTCTCATGTCTCTATCTGACGCCATTCTATTAAAATGATTCCCATGGCTGTAACTGTGCTGAATAATTAATAGAGAATTTCTGCTCATGCTAACCATGAAATCTGAGAAACGAGAGATTTCCATATAAAGAGCAATTCCAGTTTGATTTGTGGTTATTGTTATGTTGACTTCTTGAACTCTGCATACATTTGTTTAGTATAATGACTGTTGCTTTGAGTTTGCAGAGTTATTCAGTTTATATTAGTGATAGGATCAATATACTGTCCATTATGTAGCCATTCTGAGAATATCATATTGACCTGTATCTGACTGATGAAGACAAATGGTCATTATGCATAGTTTCAGATACAAAATCTAATCTAGCTTTATTTTTAATTACTGGCTTTTTTTTTATTTAAATGTTTTGGTTGCACTTTATTTTATGGTGTCCTTGTTACAGTGCAATTATACAATTAAATACAGAGTAATATTTATTAACAACATGTACTTACAAAATGGTTAGCATTTGATTTACAGTTGGTTGCTTAAAATTATGCATAATTCATCACTATAGTAAGTACAAGTAACATGTAAGAAGGACACTAAAACAAAGTGTTACCATTTTTTAGTTCATATTATAAAAATCACACATTGTTTGGGGCCAGTAAGAAAAAAAAGAAAAGAAAAATAATTTCAAAAGCTTTACTTTGTATATATTTTAATTTATTTATATATATATATATATTATAAATGAATATTTTAACATTCATTTGGTAAAACATGACAGTAAAGACATTACAAAATATTTTATAAATATTGTTACAATATATTTTTCGCAGATTAAACAAATATTAAGCAGCACAACTGTTTTAATCATTGTTAATAATAAAAAAATATTCTTGAGCTGTAAATCAACATATTAAAATGATTTCTGAAGGATAATGTGACACTGAGGACTAATGACTACTGAAAATCCAGTTTTCAATCACAGGAATAAATTACATTTTGCAAATATATTCAAATAGAAAACATTTATTTTAAATTGTTATAATATTTCACAATATTACTGTTTTTACTGTATTTTTTAAATCAAATAAATGCAGCCTTGGTGAGCAAATACATTAAAAAAAAAAATTGCCAACCCCAACCTTTTAAACAGCAGTATTTATGTATTATGTATACAGTATATCCGCATTATGTTGTCCATCCTTCACCCTAGTCTCTTGTTATTGGTATCAGCCATTATAAAAACCCATATTGTTAGACCACTAGTTTATATAGGAGAAAACGCAGTTTTCACATGAAAAGTGCATGTGTCAGCAGGAATATTATGACACTTAAATAAACACCTGTAAACAATAACTGTGATTTCATAGACACTAAAGACTCCACCCATATGTTCACAAACACAAGGGTAATGCAGAGGGCCAGTGTACACTTTCAGCTTTAATAGCTTGCCATTTTATGGCTACTTGTTTCATTAGCTTTAGTCCTCATATGCACAGAAACAGCCTTTGTATTCTTTTACAAAAAGATCTTCACTTAATAATGCAGCAGAACATTGGAAGTACATTGATGTCTGCTGAACAAAGTGATAACGGATGAGCCCTCCGTGGAGACATTTCATGAGACAATAATGATCATTTTCATATAATCAACTTAAGCATGCTCTATCATAATCTAATTTGGATCTTGATTTGTGTAAATCATTGCCTTGTTTTTTGGTCTGGTTGGTTGAGTATGTTCTTCTGCTCGCTCTATCTCTCAGGGAGAAGATGCCGTTCCACCATGTGACGGCAGGATTGCTGTACAAGGGGAACTATTTGAGTCGCTCACTGTCCGAACACAGCAATAGTGAACAGCTCGCAAGCATCACCGTGGAGGAACTAGATGGTGAGCAATGAACTTACATGACATTAACACAAATATGCACTTTATTTAAGGTAAAACGTTTAACCACTTTTTGTGAGTGTGACTTAAAATTCCAATTGGTTATTCAGCGTTGAGTGACACTTTATAATAATTTTCATTAAAGGAATAGTTCACTCAAAGTGACACTTTATAATTATTTTCATTAAAGGAATAGTTCACTCAAAAATGAATAAATTTTCTTTGTGTATATGCATAGTTGTTTTCATAAAAAAAAGAAACAAAAAACATAAAAATGGTCAACTTTTTCAAGTCTTCTGAAGTTATATGATAGCTTTTTGTAAGGAACAGACTGAAATTTAAGTGGTTATTTATAAAAAAAAAAAAAAAGCATTCTGAAGGCGTTATATATGGGCCATTCTACTGAATTGGTCCAAAGTCAGAGTTGGAAACGTCTTGAAAAAATTTGTCTTTTCCCATAAAATTTGTATGTATGCAAATTGTATAATATCCAAGGTATTTCTAGTAATTGTGCAGTTAATTATCATATTGTATTTTCAGAACGTTTTGGAATATTTGTCCTCTCCCAAAATTTGTCACTACCGAAACACATTAATAATAATTTAATTAGAAGAGTTATTTTGACCTATTAAGATTTAGCTTTCATCTAGATTGTAAATATATATTTTTTTGCTATTTTACTAAAAACATTTCAGAGGTAAATCCATGACAATTAAATTTTTTTACAATATTTCAAGTGTAATTTATGAGATTTGTTGTATTTTGAATCCTAATTTTTCTCTGTAAAAGGCAAAAAGTTGATACTGATTTCCAAGTTAAGGATTCAGTAGTTTGAATGTACATTGAACCAAAAACTGTCATAACATCTCATTTTTGACAAAACATCCCATGTTTCGGTAGTGACAGTAATGCTAAAAAAAAAACTGTGAAAAATTATTCAGAAATGTCTGATTTAAAAATGCCAGGATTCAATTTTGTTAATAATTTTTTTTGAGGAAAGTTAGCAGCATATTGTACTGTATACAGTTATAAGTGAAATTGCTAAATAATGCCAGTCTTATCACTAATATAAACCAAATGTTTCTTTCTGCGAACCCAGTTCAAAAAGTCAATGTGAGGGTAAGTAACTAATAGTTTTGAACAAAGTTATGAGCAAAGCAAAACAAGCAAACAAAAAACATATATTATATTATATTATATTATATTATTAGATAGCCTATGTGTTTAATGGATAATAAATAGTGTCATCTAACTTTGATTTATGTACTCATGTATATTCATTTTTGAATGAGAATGAATTACTGATCCCTTAAGAATTATATAATTTTATATTAATAACGTTTTAATGAAGGCTATTACAGAGTGTTACCCTGAAGTGTTTTTGGTTTTTATATGTAAATCAGGCATTAAATCATAAATCAAAAGTCAGAAATTGTGTAAAAATCAGGATCAAAGCCCATACGTCCCCAACACTCTTCATCATGAATCGGGGCGAGTGAAGCAGAGCGCTAATCAATTAACACTGCCTTTGTCAGCAGGAAGGAGCTCATGAAGAAAAATACATTTAACCCTTGAGGCCTGAAAATGAATGCTTAAGTGACATATTAACACCGCGGGGCATCTGCAGATATACAGAGCTGCTACAAGTCATTGACTTTGTTGGTTTTGCTCTGAAACAGTCCAAACTGTGAAATGCAGCTGCTGGAGCCCTGCTGATGTTGTATTGATCGTATCAGGAGGGGTCAGCAAATAGTCTGTAGCATCTTAATCACAGCGATACTCTTGTGTTAGAGATTTCTGGAGTCCTTACTGTATTAAAATGCAGAACAAATCTAACTGAATCTGCATTTGATATGCAGCAAAAAAGTTTTTGCAAGGTTTCCCAGATGTTAAAAGCAAAATAAAAATGAGCTGTTAATACTTAACCTCAGGCCATCCAAGATGTAGGGTGACTTTTTTTCTTCAGTAGAACAGCTACATGTTTTAGCTGAAACTGCAGTCCTTGGTGATTCATAAAATGCAAGTTAACTGCTACCGTTACTTTCATAGTAAAGGCAACACAAAATTAATACCCCTGGCTCCTGATGATATATTGAGGTCTTACAAAGCAAAATGTTTGGTCTGTGCAAGAAACTAAATGTTATTTAAATTTACATGTTATTTACAAACATTATTTACAATTACATATAATATATGTGACCCTGGACCACAAAACCAGTCATAAGTAGCACGGGTATATTTGTAGCAATAGCCAACAATACATTGTATGGGTCAAAATGATAAATTTTTCTTTTATGCCAAAAATCATTAGGATATTAAAGGGGTCATCGGATGCAAAATTCACTTTTACATGTTGTTTGAACTGAAATGTGTCTTGGCAGTGTGTGTACACAACCAGCCTATAATGATAAAAATCCACCCAGTGCTTTTTTAACATCTCGATAAATCCAAACCCCTTTCTCATATCAAGCCAATCTCAGATTCTTGGCAGAATGACGTAGTTCTGCACAGGCCCATCCCACGATTGTTGATTGACATTGGTGTCAGTCTTTGGTTTTATCACAGCTCCGCCCTGAGTGAGCTGTCAACAGTCCATCATTGTTTCGACGCTGGAGTGGCTGTAGACAACAATGGCTCCTAAGCGATTGACGTGTTTTGTTGTTGGATGTAATAATGAACATAGCAGTTGTCATTTACTCCTGACATCTGAGGTGCTGAATTACTTTCACTTTTGAAGAGAATGCGCCCCCGATCTACCTAAATGCATTCGGATCACTATGTTCGCACGAATCATTCGTGATCCAGCCCCACCTACAGAAGAAGTGAGTATATATTTTTTTATGAATCTTTGCAAATTGCCTTTCCTAATAATGTGCTAGTTAGCAAGTTTCACGATGAATGCGGCTTAAGTTTACAGTCTCTCAGAGAGCAGCTCGGAATAGAGGGGCTGGGTGAGCAGAGCTCATTTGCGTTTAAAGGAACATGCAACAAAACGGCTTGCTGTAAACAGAGCTGTTTTGACAGGGTAAAAGGGTGTTGTTTTACACTACCATTGAGAAATTTTAACCAAAGTATGTTTTAGACTTTTCATTAAGACCCTAAAGAATCATATCAAACTGTGGAAAATGGGCATTCGATGACCCCTTTAAGTAAAGATCATGTTCCATGAAGATATTTTCTAAACTGCCTGCCATAAATACATCAAAACCTAATTTTTGATTATTAATATGCATTGCTAAGAACTTCATTTGGACAACTTTGAATGCGATTTTCTCAATATTTCGATTTTTTTGCACCCTCAAATTTATTCAGGTTTCAGATGATGTATAAATCTCAATTTCAAAAAATGTACCCATATGTCTGGTTTTGTGGTCCAAGGTCACATATAGCCTCAGGCAAACAGGGAAGCCTGTTTCTTTTCCGCAAATTGGTTCTTTTGAACAGTTCAGGTAAATGAACTGGTTCAAATAACCGATTTGCCAGTTTGTTTACATAATCGCGCAATTACGTAATGTATACGCAATGATATTATTAAACTGCATCTAATGATGTGTAACGTGGATGTTTTACATGTTTAAAGCATAAACTTGTCTTCATCAGCTCACCTTTTTACATAAACAATGAGAAACCATAAAAACTAGCATTTTGCCCCTTTATTGAAGTGCTTGGTTCCCGCCTGCACAAATAACCGGCTCATCGGTCCGAGTCGGAGCCGTTTACTCAGTTTTGGTGGAGTAACTGGAGCACTGAATGAGTTGGCAAAAACCGGCATCATAGGATCATATACATCAGGACTTTGGCTAATTTTTCCAGTCGGAGTGACTGTCGGGCACGTCCGAAAGTGAGTTTTGTTTGAGTAACTTATAGATCTGTTCCGCTTGAGTCACAAACAGTTTCAGGCGGTTTAGTCAGATTTGGTGAACTTGTTCAAAAGAATGATTCGCTCGTGAACCGAACATCATTCCAGACCGTTTACTTGAGGCTATGAATTACAGGGGCCTGAGGGTGAGTAAATTAATAAATGTTAATTTTTGGGTGAACTATCTCTTTCTCTTTATGCTCGCAAACTGCTGAATAATAATTTGTCTTTGATTTGTAGTCTCAAGCCATGTCAAGAGCACATTTGTAGAAAGAATGACATTTCTATTATATATCTTAGCATAATCTCATTGTATCTTCAGGTTTTAGATCTAAACATTGATTATTACATCATCTGCCATTTTCATCTCTAAAATGAACAGTGCTTGTCAGACAATTAGCCAGAATTGAGAGGACAAAATGTTTCTGAAGGTTGTGTTCAAACAGGCTTTACATCCGCAACAGACTCTTTATGCATATATTCATGAGTTTGCCTCTATACAAAAACAAATCTAATGCCTTTACTGTGCAAACACTTTGTAGCGCTCCTAAAGTCTTCTTGCATGTGTGTGTGTCTGTGAGGAATAACAATTATGAACTTCCTTTTCCTAAGACAGATGTTCTTAATTGGCTCTGAAACATAATTGTCAGTGTAAATGTCCATAGCTGTTGATATAAAAGCCATTTGTGTGGCTGTAATTGTGACAGTATAAAACATGTAATGGTTGATGAATGTCTTTGGAGATATTGTCCTCCTGACAATGCTTATTGTTATGTACAGTAGGTACCTCATCTGCCTGATTGATCCTGATTTGGTTTGAGTTGCAGATTATTTGACTGTAAATATAAGGGAATTTCAATGATTTTCACAACTGGAAAGGTCTTGGAAATTAATACAGTTTTAAAAATCATGTAAATGTGTGTTTCTTTTGTCAGTATTGATTTTTATAGTCATGCTTTGCTCTAAAGCATTCCAATATCTTACTAGATATGGTTTTTCATGAGCCCTTTTGTAGAGTAAAATTTGATGACTGATAACATCAGTCTTTTCAATGAGGAGTGCTTTGGGATTCTTTGGATAGTATATATTACTAGCTAATTTTTTTTCAAAATCGTCTTCCTGAAGGGGAGAAGGGGCATTGAATCATCCATTGAGAAGTAATCCAATCTCAGGGTGTTTTTGTCTTATTGGAGATCTTTGTCCTCTAGAAAGTTATTTAAATCTAGTAATTCAAAAAATTTGACCCAGAAATCTTTATAAAACTGTTCACAAATTCCTGAGTCCAAAAACATATTGTAATGTCAAAATATAATGGAAAACATAATGGAAATTCTTTAAAAAAATTTCACACTGTTCAGGATAAGGATAAATAATTGTTCGCCAGTTGGTTGGTTTGTTGGTTGGTTGCTGATGATGATGTTTTTAATATAAAAAGCACATTTTATTTTTAAAATAGCTTTTTGTCTTACCAAATGAATAACTGAATATATGACCTCAACAAAGAATTTGAAAAAGGAAATCAAACAGAAATCTCTAAATTCATTATAAAATTGTTAAAACATTCCCTAGTCTGGATGGAAACAACTGCATATGTCATGGAAAAAATAATTAATATTAATTTTAAAAAATTTGGAAGTTAGGAACCCTAATTTCGTGTTTAATGGAATTGTTCAATGACTTAGAATACAATTATTGTAATAGAAATAGTATAGTAGCCTATCAGTCATACTGTCCAGGATACATCAAAAAAGAAAAGGCAAAATATCATATTATATATACATATCATAATATCATATAAAAAATCATATACTATTTTTCAAATAGCTTTTTCTCATCAAACGGATAATTTTATATAGGCTGTGACCCTGGCATAACTGCATAACTTGTTGCTGTGATAATGTGCAGTCTTAAGTCTTGATTTAGATGGATGAGAATAGAGCAGCGTGTCGTCAAAGCTTTTGTTTCCTGTGTGTTAATTCCCAGGTTGCCTGACTTCAAATGCTGTTATACGTAGGCAAAATGACCAAATGTACTGCTGTGTGCTCGAGCATGTAGCGCAACCGTAGTGTTCTTCAGAGATGTGACACTCGAGCTCTATTTTAAAACACCAATCCTTTGCTGCCACAAGTTTTCTCCTCGCAGAAGAATCGTTTATAAAATATGCATTTGATGGAGCCAACTCCTCGTCTCCACGTTTCGAGATATATATGCATTTCAGAGGCAGAGTCCTCCTCTGTAGAGCAGATATCAAAAGAAAAAACCTGGCCTTAAGATGTGTTTGTGTGGCTGGTAAAAATTCAGATATTTATTGCTGTTTTCAGCAGTGAAATGAACAGTAAAGTAAGAATCTGACAAGTGTTTTGAGGAAAGAAGCAGCACAGCAGTGTGTGTCGCCACTGGTGTAATAGCAGGTGCAGAGAAGGTGGCAAATCACTGCAATCATTGCTCAGTGGAGGACGACCAGTGAGATGTCTTATGATGGGAAGCCACCTGAGGTGTTGAGTCACACACTTGTTTGTCTTGGCAGAGATCCGGGAGGCGTTCAGGGTCCTGGATCGGGATGGCAATGGGTTCATCTCCAAGCAGGAGCTTGGCATGGCCATGCGCTCACTAGGGTACATGCCCAGTGAAGTGGAGCTGGCAATCATTATGCAGAGATTGGACATGGATGGTGAGTTCCTCTACTCACCAACACACATTTGCTTTGCTGTCATTGGTGGAAATTGTCATTGACTTCTATTAGTTTTTTATTGCAGAAATGATATTTTTTATACCTCAGTGACAGTATTTAGCATGCACATTTATTTAGCTGTTTTCCCATCTATTTCCCATCATTAGCTGGTCCCCACAATGTACGTAAACCTGACTCACACACATAGACTCAGATAACCTTGTATTACACTTTTTCACTCTCAGTATGATTTATATTAAGTATATAATGTATACACTACCATTTGAAAGTTTGGAGTCTGTAAGATTTTATAATGCTATTGAATGCTATTGTCTTCTATGCATTTATTTGATTAAAAGTACAGTAAAAAGTAATATTGTGAAATATCATTACAATTGAAAATCACTGTTTTCTATTTGAATATATTTTCAAATATTATTTATTCGTGTGATGCAAATTAGAATTTTCAAGATCATTACTCCAGTCTTCAGAGTTACATGATCCTTCAGAAATCATTCTAATATACAGAATTGCCTTCATTATATTATTAATGTGGAAAAGAGTTGTGCTGATTAATATTTTTGTGGAAACCATGATACATTTCCCATTTCAATGTTCAAAAGAACAGCATTTATTTGAAATGTGTCTTACTGATTGAGAGCTTTTTTTCTTAAAATGTTTCCCAATTTTTGAACAGTAGTGTATATATAGTGTATATAAAAATCGCAAATGTTTGAAGATCTGATAATATCAGTGAGTTTTGACAGGAGCGTCCATGTGTATATGATGCTCTGATTTGAACTCATATTCATAAAGATTCAGCTACTACACTTTCTGGACACGAAAGATTGTCGATTGTCACCATGTTTATTTTACTGAGTTTTTAATTCTCAAAGCAATCTGCTTCAGTTTCATCCCTCTAAGCCAGCAGAACTAATCTACAGGCTTCTGGGCCTGACATATTTTTTAGTGAATCTGTAGCGAAGACTCTTTTTTTTGTACGAGGAGTTTAAGTGGAAATGAATTAATAAAGCAGTAATATTTTCCTGCTTCATTAGCATATGGTCTTAAAACAGTAACTGGACATTACCTTTGATTTCAGGCTGTTCACTTTAGATTAGGGGCCACACATTAATTTTTATGACAGCTAAATTCTGCTTTAATAAAATTTTCATCACATTTTAATCAAGTTTTTTTTTTTTTTTTTTTGGGAGTCAGAGTCTTTGCCTAGTCGTCTGAGGACATTTTATCAGGATCAGAGAACTAGACTCTTTTACTTTGAACCTAAAGCCATGAATCTATAATATTAAACAGCATGAGCATGAACATCAGTGACATATATGCTGTTTGAGAGATTGTTGAATAAAATAAAATACATGAGCTCTTGGTTATGATATATATATATATATATATTTGTCATAAAGCAAATGGCCAAATCTATTTGTGCTAAAATATTTGAGGGGGAAAAAACTATTTTCCATAACATAGTTGAAATATTGAGCTTTTAGGTGTAAACATAACAAATACTAATAATTATGATTTAAAAGGATAGGTCACCCAAAAATGAAACTTCTGTCATCATAACAGTTGACGAGAGCCATTGACTTCCATAGTATGGAGAAAAATAGTATTAAAGTCAATGGCTACCCGCATCTGTTTGAGTACCAACATTCTTTGAAATATCTTCTTTTGTGTTCAACAGCTGAAAGAAACTCATACAGGTTTGGAACAGCTTGAGTGTGGTTAAATTATGACAGAATTTTAATTTTTTGGGTGAACTATTTCTTTAAGAATGATCAATCCTTGATTTTTGAAGGGGAAATATCACAACATAACAGGAGAGAACAGGGGTGTATTCCAGAAAGCAAGGTTAACTTACTGTCTGCTAAACCCTGAACTCTCGGTTGATTAACCCAAACCTTGCTTACTCGAGGTATGCTGGTTCCAAAAACGCATCCGAGAGTAAGTTCATTCAACCCATGTTCCTGGTTAACACGCAAGACATTGTCAACAGAGTGACGAATCATACTTGCGTACTTGGTTCATATTGCCACCTAACTGGTGGTTGTGAAATCATTTTCCATTTAATCTTTAATCCTTGAGAATAAGAATTATATTGTTTGTTTGATGCTAATTATATCATAAGTCATATAAGATGTGTATTTTTATTATAGAAATACATCATAGAAAATGCTGATCCATGATCTGTGAGATGACAATAAAATGAAATAAATATATATAATATAATAAATTAAACATTACCTTGTCATAATAGTGTTTTATAATTTATACAGATAACTATTATATATGCCAATAAAATAAAATGCTTTAACATATATCATACAACTATATCTATATCTGTGTATATAGTATATTACATAACTGTATTGTAATAATATACAATATTGTGCACAATCTGTCACGCGCTCTGGAGTCTCATCAGTAGGTGAACCATGTGCCGATAGCTCTGAAGTAAACTAACCCTGAAACATAACCTACTCCGGAGCAGGTTATGTTCAGACAGTTGCTATGGCTACTTACATACCCTAAAAGTTACCTCCGTTTTTGGAACCGAAAGCTGAGTTTATCTGCTTACTTGCACTTAAACATACCAGGAATGTCACATAACCTGCTTTCTGGAATACCCCCCAGAAAACGCATATACAAAAACATTGTCAGAAGTTTAGAAGGGAAAAAGTAAAAGCAAGATATCTAAATGTTTATTCCACATAACCTAACATGTAAGAACAAAATACGTTTTATTTTACAATATTTTGCTTTACATAAATAATACCAAATAATAAATAAAAAAAATCATAAATTATATATATTATTATTATATATTTTTTTATTATTATATATTTTGCTATTGTAGAAAGACTCTAAAAATTACATAATGGGACTAAATAATGTGACTATCTCAGTAGTATTAGCAGCCAAAAAGAATTAAGTGGGATGATGAGAAATGAGAGAAGTTGCAAGCAGTGTTCAATTGTTACACTGCTGCCCGATAGCAAAATATTTTACATTCTGTTATTGTTATTAAGGTTTTGACCTTCTTTAGTATTCCTAAATAAATACTGCTTCTGAAGTTCATAGTACATAGTGTCAAGTACATAGTGTGATGGGCTGTCATTTGAAAAAAAAAAAAAAAGTGGGATAAAAATCATAATGACTCAAATTGACCTTCATCACTGTCAGCATATCTGTATATTCAAGAGATATGATCCCTGGCCATAGTCACCTGCAGTGAGCCGAACGGCCAGACATCAGATGAATGTGGCCAGCAGACGTAATCCAATGATTCACATCAATGTTCAGAGTTCAGCTAAAGTTTGTCACATTGAGTCATCTTCAGGAGCGCTATTGTCTGAGGAAGCCAATAAGTAGTTCTGCAAGCACAGGTCACACTCATTCAAGCACTTTTGAAAGCATGTTTACATTTTTATTTAATTTTTAGACTGATTGCTCATAATAGCTGATGTGTTAGTCTGTTTAGCTGTGGTGTGTTATCATATATTTACTCTCCTAAAGGTGAAGTGAGTGTGTTTCAATGTTAATATACTTCATCATATCCCAGTGTGGCCCTGTGGTGTTTCCAACAATCTTATATGTTAATTTCAAACTAATGATTGAGTCTTCTCGTCTGTAAGATTGGCAGTAGAGGTGTTTGGCGTTCTTTTTTTTTTTGTATATAATTATTACTGATGCTTGCTAAAGCAATACTTATGAACAAAAATGATGAGCATTTGTCTTTTTTTCCCCAGACATGTCCTGGTCGGGATTTCTAAATTGCCTAAAATGTCTGTTTTGGCTCTGTATTCTCATCGTTTTAATACTTGCCGAAGCTGCACTCTTAAAAATAAAAGTTTTTTTATTGGCGTCATTGGTTCCATGAAGAACCTCAAACATCCATGGAACCACTAAAGGTTCATTATATTGGAAAAAAGGTTCTTTATATATTCTTCACAGTAAGAAAATATTGTTCTTTTAAGAACTTTTCACTACAAAAAGGTTATTTTGGAACCAATGTTTTTAAGAGTTGTAATGACTGAAAAGTAGTTTGACCAATAGCATGCAGGTATTGTACATAATCGACCAATCGTGGCGTGCAAGAAGGTGGGATCTACAGAGAATGGTCAAAGCAATACAAATACGTGTATATATAATGTTTGAGGACTGTAAAGCATGTAAATATGAAAAATAAAGCCAAAACCCGGACATTTTTGGCAATTTAGAAACCAACAACACCCTAGCAACTACCAATAAAATATTGATAGGGGCTCAGAAATGACACGCCTCACCTTTAAAGGAACACTCCACTATTTTTGAAAATAGGCTCATTTTACAACTCCCCTAGAGTTAAACAGTTGAGTTTTACCGTTTTCAAATCCATTCAGCCGATCTCCGGGTCTGGCGGTAGCACTTTTAGCTTAGCTTAGCATAGATCATTGAATCTGATTAGACCGTTAGCATCTCGCTCAAAAATGACCACAAAGAGTTTCTATATTTTTCCTATTTAAAACTTGACTCTTCTGTAGTTACAGCGTGTACTAAGACCGACGGAAAATGAAAAGTTGCGATTTTCTAGGCCGATATGGCTAGGAACTATACTCTCATTCTGGCATAATTATCAAGGAACTTTGCTGCTATACCATGGGTGCAGCAGGCGCAATGATATTACGCAGCGCCTGAAAATAGTCCCCAGCTAGGTAACTTCCAATAAGCCTATTATAGGATTCGAAAACAGTAAAACTCAACTGTTTAACTCTAGGGGAGTTGGAAAATGAGCCTATTTTCAAAAATAGTGGCGTGTTCCTTTAATGCCTGCAGTCATAAAATGATGCCTTCAATTTTAAATATAACTTTTGGGATTTGTGAGCAGGATTCTGACGTTAATTTATTTTTCAGGTGATGGACAGGTGGACTTTGATGAGTTCATGACGATACTCGGACCGAAGCTCCTGTCCTCTGAAACACGGGAAGGTTTCCTTGGAAACACAATCGACAGCATATTCTGGCAGGTAAGATGCCGTGGAGGACAATTTACCGGTGGCTGTGCAGGACTGAACTTCAAACAGTCTTTAAATTGCTACATTATATAAGCTGGTTTATTGGTGTGATGATTAGGGCCCTATGAAATCCATGTTATTTTTTCCCAAATTCTATCTTTTCCATTTAAATTTTTCTGGATTACGTTTTTTTCCATTTTCATATTTTCTAGACTCTGTTTTAATGGTTAAATTAAATTGTGCTCATCAAAAAGCATGTCTAATTAACTGAAATCATAAAACCTCCAATATTAAACAGCAATGTTTTACCAAATTCTGTTTTATTTTTGCCAAATTCTCTTTTCAATCATTTTTTTCTGGATTCCATTTTAATGGTTTCATTAAATATTAATAATCAAAAGCATCTCTAATTCATTGATTTTATAAAAATTTTTTTTTTTATTATTATTTAATTGATTTATTCTTTTAGTTTTCCAGAAATGCTGTGTTGTGTATTTAAATTTTTCTGCTGAAGAAGTTCTGGTAAATAATTTTTTCTTGTAAATATTCCTTTTAAAATAATGTTTTAATAATAATTTTATTTTTAGTAGCAGTACTATCATTACATTAAGTAATATTTCTGTCACAGTTTCTTCAAGTTAAACTAATATTTTATTTTGACGGGTTGCTGTAAAGACCTTAAGGTTTCTGCTTGTATTATGATTTGACGATAGTTTTTCTCAAAAGAAATGGTAAAATGCTCATGAAGTGACTCTCAGAGCAGTTTAGAGATTGTTCATGTGTTTATGTACTCGTATACTGAGGCAGCAGAGGTTGAAAACATGCTTCAGTATGTGTGTGTCGTAAATAAATCCGCATTTATGCGTTAATATTCACAGACACTAGTCACGTTTTGATGTAAGTGTAATGACCTACTTTTGATATATCCATCCAAACATTGGCATATTCCGTGACATTCCGCGTTATACAGTAAATTCAGTTTTTATGACTGGATACATGGCCGTACCCAGGCTTTGAAAATTAGTGAGGTCCGGGGAGATGGGGGTTGATGTTAAAGAATTGGTGTTAAAGAATTGTGTTATAATAACCCCTACAAATACAACTCATTATATACACTATAAACACTTTAAAGGAGACAGACATGTAGATGTTTGTGAAAGGTTTTGGAGGGATGATTATTTTTAAATCATACCCTATTTATTGCATCAAAATTTGTTAATACTTTACTATATTTAAGGGTGGGTATTTTTTTATTAGTTGTTTATTGCAACAATACATAACTACAATAACTTTGACTAGTGCTCTTATATTTATAGCATGATTTATGAAAATTTAACTATACTGAATGACATGGCATAGACTTCTTCATAGCTAGTTTTTGCGTATTTCATTTCATTTCATTCTGTAACCTACTTGTTCTACAGATCTGTGTGTACTAGTGTTAAATGTTACTGTTTTTGACAGCATTGATAATGTTTATGACAGATAATATCATGATAATTTTTGCGTTTCCCTTACCGAATGTCGTATCCTGTCAGCAAAAACCTGTCCATGGTATTTTTTGATTGCTTTCAGTTTACACTCTTAAAAATAAAGGTGCTTCAAAAGGTTCTTCAAGCGATGCCATAGAAGAACCATTTTTGGTTCCACAAAGAACCATTCAGTCAAAGGTTCTTTAAAGAACCATTTCTTTCTTAACTTTTAGTAATCTGAAGAACCTTATTTCGCCTTAAAGAACCTTTTGTGAAACAGAAAGGTTCTTCAGGTGTTAAAGGTTCTTTATGGAACCATTTAGACAAAAAGGTTCTTCTATGGCATCGTGAAGAACCTTTATTTTTAAGAGTGTAAGTGCCGGCGATGCAGTGTTGCCAGATATTGATACCAAAACAAACAAAAAATAAAAAATAAATAAATAAGAATAAACCGAAATTATTTCCAATCTTTTGCAAATAAGATAAGATAAAGATATCGCTGACTCTAAACGGAAACGTACAACTTTATTAACTTTCTGAAGTGTTAAATTAAGTTGAAAAACAAGTCCAAAAACGCTTATAATAGCTGGATCTCTCTCAAGCCTCGTTCACTCCGCCAGCATCTCGCAGCGATCATTTTCATAACAGGGACGCTAAACATTCTTGCAAACTGTCTAAACTGAATTATACATGTCATGCAGACATTTATATGAGGAGTTTAACAGCAAAGTAGTCATTCAAAGAACAAATGTTATTTTTGGACATGAAAAATTTACAGAGGTCCGGACCTCGGTGGCCTCATAGCTGGTTACGGGCCTGACTGGATATGACTGCATCACAGGGCCCAAGTGTTATGCTTGTTTTTCAGAATAACATCAATGAGAGGTATCGAACGGCGGGTGGATTTCTGGATATTGTTACATTAGCGACATTTATGTGTAGACTGTGGTTTGTAAGAATGGTATTCGGCTGATTTGAGCTGGGTGAAGCAGTGTTTGGCTTGGCCGTAGTCTGGGATCCCTGTGGGTTCAGTGAAGTCTCTGGATCGTGATGGAGTGCTGTGTGATGATATTGGAGAAGATGAAGCAGAGCCCATGCCAGCCCCACTTGGCTGAGACAGGTGCTCGTGACCTTGGCTGGCCCCGTTGGAGGGACCATCCCGGAGGAGTTTGACAACTCAGTGTTTATTACAGAGGCCAGATCGCTCACGATCAGGGAGATATGTAATAGACATTACCTTAACCCTGACTACTTATAAAATGGAAATAAATGTCTGCGTAAAGAATTTGTCAGTAACTTGACAGGCACCTTTTGGTTATGTTATCCCAAAACATTGCATTGCAACAAACACCTCTGTAACAGCATCTGCTTGTCTTTATGCTCTGTGAAATTATTTTACTTTTTAAAAATCCCGCTTATTTACAGTATGTAGTTAATTAGAATGATTGAAATTATTGCATACACTATTGTTTGTGGTCAGTAAGATTTTTAAAATGTTTTTAAAAATTGAAATGTTTTTGAAAGAATCATCTTTTATGCTTACTTAGGCTGTATTTATGTGATTAAAAATACAAAAAAACAGTAATACTGTGAATATTATTAAAATGGTTTTGTATTTTATTAGATTTTAAAATGTAATTTATTAATGTGATACAAAGCTGAGTTTACAGCATCATTACTTCAGTCTTCAGTGTCACATGATCCTTCAGAAATCATTCTAATATGCTGATTTGATGCTCAAGAAACATTTCTCATTATTATCAATGTGATATTATCACTATATTGGGTATTCAGAACCCCTCTTGACCAAAAAACACCGTTATATGAGCACATGCTGAATGCTTGAATGGCAATACATTTGTTTTTCACAGGTTTCCACACTGCATGCTGTAATCATTTATATATTTTATATAAATATATATAATCAGGGTTTGAAATTAACACCCGCCAACCCACCAAATGCGGGTAAAAATCAGCTGTGGCGGGTAATGTTGTCAAATCACTAGCCAGTTTGGCGGGTTACTTTTCGTAAGTTATGTTCACTCATTAATTTCTTTGGGAAGTTCATGCAAGCCAAATCTGCGCAGGTTTAGCGGAAATATTATCGAGTATATTGCAAAAACCAAACAAAACACACCTAAGTTACAAAGTGCACGCATACGCGACGTGATGTAGTCTGGTTAGACTAACTTTGTGCTGTGCGCATTTAGAGTGCATTCTTTCACTGTATGATTCAGTCTGTTAATATGCATTACAAATGATCACATAATTCAAGATAAGGGGGTTGGAAAATGAAAAGAAGAGATTTATATCAATTCATGTAGTTAATATCACACGAAGAGTGCGGTTTAAAAAAATTATAAAAATCAGCATGGTTACAAATGTGATATTGATTTTCTACAACAGTTCAATAAACAATATGTTAATATCAAGAGACTTATGTTTTAGACACCATATTGGCTTTTTTTGCGTTATTTCGCCAACAGAAAACATTCCAAACACAGCCACAGCACTGTTTTGCGTCTCTGAGCAAAATCAACCGTTTAAATGATATGGTTCATTCGCAATGACTCACGTAACAGTGACTTGCTGCCACTTACTGGTGGATTTCATTTCACATTTAAAGTATCTTTTAATTTTTTTAATAATTTAAATATCACTATTCAACATTTCATGTTTAAAATATCAAAACATTATTTATGCATTTGTAACTGCAGGTTAAAGCATGCCATGTCCCTCTAAGCTGCATTAACATGTGTAAATCTATCTAAATGCCCCTTCATATTCAACTTCTGCAAAGATGAATTTTATTGATAATGATTTCATTTGTTTAGTAACAGCCTAAATGTAGTATTGTTATAACTGCCTGATTAAATGTAAGAATTTGACTCAAAAGATGATGCACACTTTTAGTAAAAATGGATTTATAAAGGTAAAAATGCCCATAAAAGGTAAAAATCAATCTAAACGTATTGGAAAAGATTAATTTCTATCACTGCTGTGAACTGAAACTTTAGGAGTCAGCTGTCCACGGTATCCTTAAGATATCGGCACAACACACTCTGCAAAATATTGTCTAATTATCTTTATCAATAAAATCCCAGAAAATATTGAGATATAATTTTTTGTCAATATCGCACACCCTTAGTACCGACACAAAATTATTTGCAACAGTCGCTTTGTCATGTAGACAGCCTTAAGCTGTTGGTTTATTTCGGAGTTTTTGTTGGCTGGTAGAAGTTATGAATGGCCGGTAACTTAAAAATTTAGTAGCCAAATTGGCTGGTGAGTAAAAAAGTTAATTTCAATCCCTGTATATAATATATTATATATATATATACATGTTTGAGTTCATGAAATACCAAAAATTTTTAAGTAAACACAAAATTAGTTTGAATATGTGGTTAAATATTACTTAAAATATGTTACAAGATTAGTGGTATTGTGTTCTTTTAGTATAATTTGCTTTATACTGTTATAGTATTTATTCATATTTTGAATCAGCTTTAATTTTATATATTCAGTTTTAGTTTGTTTTAA